TGTTTACACACACAGACACATGAATAAAGAGAACGTCAACCAAAACAGTCCACTCTAAAATTCCCATTTGGCAATTCTGTAACTGGACATCAACTGAATGCTCTCAGGTCTGTGTTTCAGACTCTTCTCTTTACATCTGAGATACAGCTGAACATGCGAAAATTCTGGTTTGGTAAGAAGGCAGGCTTTTCCTAAGTACTCATTCTGGACATCGCAGCTATCAAGAAAGATGACAGGGCACCTGGGCGTGAGATCGGGGCCCCTTTGACGGCAGGTAGCAACGCACTGGCTAACTTAATGGGAAACACATTGGGGACTGCCATTTTTTTCTGATGATACAATTTTTTCACCTAATTACAGGAATTCAGTAAGTGTTAAGCTGCACTTATCAAAATAGGATTATACACGTGACAAAATATTAGCAGCTTGGCACACTGACTTGTACAGTTGTAAATGTTTGGACAGTTGCAGGAGAGGAAAAATTTGGATAGCATTGGAAAAACACAATTTTTAATACTATTCCTCACAATTTCTAGCATTGGCTGGTACACCTTAAAAAAAAATTAGCTTCAACAAGAACGGAAATTTAAAGTTTAACAAAGACTGACATTAAAGGAAGAAGTCCCAGAGTGGCAGAAACCTGCCAGACTCCTTGCCAATCCCCTAAGAGTGCTCTCTTCCATCCAGAGATGCAAGAACTCAGATTTCCAGGGTCTGCAGCTGCACCAGGGTCTGGCAGCCACACCAGGCACACACATGGCCTTGGATCTGGGCTCCAGTCGCTTTCATAGAGAAATTTAAAATGTTGGAATTCTGTTACAAATAGGAATTACCTTCTCTACCCAGTGTTAATAATTTTCCCCCAAGCCTAAACATGAACATGCAGTAAACACACTGGGTTTTTGTAGTCCTGAAAAGGATTTAAATAGTCACATTTGCATTTTTCCCAGACTTTAAAAAAAGCCAAGTCTTTCATGATCAGTAGGGACATGCAACTGCTCTGATTTGAGTTGTAATCACTCCAGAAGCTGGTTGTGCCATAAACCATATACACTGCTGGAGTAAATGAAATGAAAGACATTGAAGATTACGGGGAAAAAAAAAGTTGCAAAAATTATTTCCCTGCACTGCAGAAAATGTTAGTCTTTATTTGGCATAGTATCTGTTCCAAACATAATGCAATTCAATACGGTTGGTTTTATGAACGCCAAGGATTTCCCCACACCCCCCAAGCTCCTGCTGGTGGTTATCTCCATCCTTTCATAGGACTAAAATATGCACAATATATGTAACTCCTTATTTTCGTAAATACTGTTGTTTTATGTTTGTTTTTTTTTAAATAAAGTGCTTGCCAGGAAGTTTGGGGCCTGTTTATTGACTGAGATATAAATAGGAGGTATACTTCGGAGCTGGAAGAAAGAGCACAAGAGACTGCAATAACTTTATTGTGCTGTTGTGATAAAATGTATTTGCCTGAAGGCACAAAAACCTCACTGGCTGTAAATGGCTTTGTTCATTGTCAACATAAAAGGTGAAGACATTAATATCTTGCCTAGACTTTGACATATCTTGCAACCTTTCTATTTTTTACATATATTTTAAATATATAAATCATCCTGGGCAGTGAATGTCTTGATTTTATAGAGTTCATACTGAATAAAAATAAATAAAAGTGAAATAGAAAGAACTAGGCAGAGCTACAATTAGAATTGTGAGTTCATAATGGCCTAAATAAAAAGCCACAGTAAAGACATCATGTATGGCCAGCCTTTTAAGACCTTCAAAATCTTCTGGTATCATTTCCCTAACGGTGGAGAGGCCTGCATTCTCTGGATGCATATTGTTGTGCTGTGCTTCTCCTTCCGGACGTTGTCTTGAAAACTGAAGTCACCACAGCACTGACTGCTTTGCACCTAGCTCATACCTACATGCAGTAACATTCACAGCTAGACTTGCCTTTGCCATCCTGCAAAAGGAACCAATGCTGAGAAGTATCTTCCTAGCATCACTGCTACCTCTGGCTTGCATAAAACGGAAGGAAAGGAGGGAATATATCCCATTTCACCACTTACCAGAAGATTAGCATGCTTAGGTGGGGTGGAATACCCCTAGATGGCTTCCTTAAACTACAATGTTTAAGGGGCAAAAGAGGCAAAAACTGAATACGCGTTCAAGTTTTTGACAAACTGCAGCAAGAAAATGTATTAAAATAATTTTTTAGTTTCACACTAAGGGTATAAAAAAGTTGATTATTTTGAAAATGCTAATTAAGTGCAACTGACCTGATCTTCTCTGAGAAATTTCTCAACATCTCCATACCCAGGCACATACTTGTGTTTAACAACAAGTTCACACCACCGATGACGAACCTTTGGGAAGAGGAAAAAATATTAGGGTGGTGGTGAGAGAAACTGTATTGTATCTGTGTGAGTGTTGATAAGCAATACATCTCTAACCACTTTGGTTTTGTCATTGTCGTTGGGTTTGTGGTTTTTGGTGGATTGGGTTTTTTTCCGCCAGCAGCCAGGCAGATGCCTCTCGACACCGGTCAGTAGGCATCGACACCCAGCTGGGCAGAGCCCTGCGCGTGTGCGCCCGGGCTTCGGAAACCCAGAGCGCCCAAAGACGAACTCCTGGTCCCAAGTTAGTTAATGCAGATCCAGGCACAGATCTGCAGCATCTTCACCTCCACTGTTTCCAGTCTTGAGTTTTTTCCTTTATGTTCTGCTAGAGGTTATTTCTTTTATACTGTTAGAAGGGGGGAGGGGGAGGAGATTAGCACTGCAAACAACTGGAAGAGCCACATGATATAATTGATAATTTCCCCTATGTAAGCGTATAATCCAAATGATAAAAAGGCTTAAATATAATTCTGTACCAATATTAAATCCATGCCAAAAGGATGAGTTAGATATAAAACCATGAAACAGGGAGCTTTCAGTTAAATGAAACACAGTTTTGCCAACGTATCTTTGCCAGTAATAGATTTTAAGCACCTTGAAAAGCACTTAAAATCTGTCCACGCTTAAAAAGCTGGGCTGTTCTACCAAATGCACATTGACAAAAACAGTTATTAACATACTGTAATGTATGTATGGAAATTCTCAGTCACAATTGAAAAATATTTTTAAGTAGTGTGAACATGAATTACATGTGGGTTTTTTTGTTGTTGTCTTTAAATTTCTGACTTTGTTCTTAGCCACTCTTGTGGCGTAAGCATCATCTTACTCTCCAGCAAGGCTTCCTCAGTTGTAGGCAGAGATCAGCCTAACATTTTATATTCCATTAGTGGCTCAGCACTGATCCTAAAGGAATACAGTTAAGTGCAATAAAACCCTCCCACCCTCCCAATCCTTCTGTTTCAACCTTCATTCTTACCATCTTGCAAAAGACAGGGCACCTAATAACAATCACCTTTCATAGTAAGAGTAAAATGTTAGCAGCTCTAATATTTTTTAAAACTGAGTCCAAATTGTGCTCATACCAAGTAACTGAACGTGAACCTTTTTCTGAATGATAGGTTTACTGACAACATCGAGAATGGAAGCCAGAAAGGGAGGGGAAAAAGAGTCACACTTAAATATATTGTTGATTTTGAAATAAGGTATATGGAAATATTTTCCTTGTCATCTCAGTCCTCGCCAACCTTACATCTCAGGAAAAAATTTCACAGACGTATGTAATTAGATGTTAATCCATTAGCATAATTGACAAGTGATAAATGCTCACAGGTCCTGGAAGAGTCCTTTCTGGGTACCTGATATCTCTTTACAGCTGACCTCTTATATGAAATAGTTTGAACACAGCTTATGAATGAAATAAAATGCTGGGGGCTTTTGTGGCTGAGTAGAGTTCACACTCACAGCGTGTAAGATACTGAACAGTTACAGTGCAACGCATGCAAAGGAATGAAAGCTGTCTCTTAAAGGTTTTCGCTGACAAAATAATAGCTGTTAAGATTCCTGCAAGTTGAACCAGAGCTAAATCTACAAAAGTAAATAGCTTTCCAAGATTCAACTCACTTCGCTGTAGATGGCCATATCCATAATGTAGACCTTCAAAACCCTACCCAGCTGCTGCTTCTCCCTGGAGACACTGAACATTTCACCAGTAAATCTTCGCAGGCAATCCAGCTTTGTTACAGAGTGTTTCTCATAGAACCGAGCAGCTCCATGCTCAGACCAAACCTTCAAGGCTCAAAAATTAAGCATACACCTCTCTCATCTCTAGGGTGAGTTAACCAAACAGAATACAAACATATTTAAAAGGTTGTATATCTTCATCAAACACACTTTATTCTGCACCTTCTGTCATATATTTAAAAAAAAAAATTCCTTATGTATTCTTATAGCACGTATGAGAAACATAAAGAGGAGAAAGGGACTGCGGTCCTCTCCTGTGATCACTGTTCTTCTACATCTCATGGTCCAGCAGTTACAGCACTTACCCAGGAGGTAAGCAATGAAGTCCAGTTTCTGTGTCTGCTCAAGATCTCAAACTGTGCCTTCAGTGAGAATATTTCAACAGCAAGTTATAAAGTCTTCTGGAATGGGGCTCTCTTCATACCCCCGGTGAAGCTCTTTTTTCCCCTGCAGTTATTAAAATATTTATTGATCCTAAAGGAGGAGGTCATAAGACTTTAGGGCCTAAATTTCTGAGTACTTTGAATAAGAAGCAGGGACCTCGCTCACCCGGCGCACAAGCCAGCTCATCCCCAACATGCCTTCCCTGGAGCGACCGCAATAGCTGCATGGAGAGCAGGACAAAGTTCTGCCTGTGAAGGCATTCATGCGGTCCTACTTCCTCACATACTAATGCTGCATATACGTCTGCCTTACATTTGTATCATGGCTTGATCATCTGAATCCCAATGGCTTTGGAAAACACGGAACAATTAAGCTGTGCCCGTTTCCTTAATTGTTGGTTCCTCCATAGGGTTCTTGTTCTTGGCAAGCAACCTCCTTTCAAATAGTTTAAAAGGAAAATATTTATTTGTTGAGTGAGATCTGGTACAGCACACACTTTTCTTTCTCTCTTTCGCTTTTTTCCCTTTCTTTCCCAGGGAGAGTACAAATCCTGGCACTTTTCCAGATGTGAAATGCTGGCGCTTTGCCAGTTGGGGCAGGAGCAGCACGTCTGTGATCCTCAGATTACACGTTTGCCTCCTGTTTTCCAAAAAGCCCCAAATGCTCTCGCGGCAGAGCAAACTACAGGAGAACCACTCGCTGCCGAAGTGCCTGTGAAACCATCAGGGCAGTCGGCCCCGCCGGCTCTCCCGTGTCTCCTACGGAACCCCAGTAAGCCGAGCACAGAAACCAAGGCTGGCTCCGAGTGCAAGAGGGGCAGGGGGTGACCTGCACAACGCTGGCACTGAAAACTTCACTAACAATTGGACCGAACATATATATTGGTTACTCTCCTGCCCCCCACACCCTCCATGCAGGGTGACATATAGGCGGCCATGTAACACAAACTGCAGCTAAAGCTAACGCAGCCATTTCACAGATACATGCACTATAAAAAAGCAATTTTTCTAGTGTAATCCAGCCCTAGGCTGATACCACAAACACGAGAATTTTATTCACATAAGAGAGGGACGGGAAAAAAAGAAAATTCAGTTCCCAACGTCTTATCCAATGCTTAGAGCAGGAAAAGTAAAACGGGCCCCACAGCTTCACAGCCTAGTGAGTGAGTCATGTGAACAGGCACTTTTCACAAACCAGTCTCGAAAGAAAATTTTGAAAACTAAGTAGCGTGTGGTAGGACTGAGCTAACCATACCGCATCCCGTGTATGCTCTTCTTGGCTTTTCTGTTCCTCCCAGGAGCAAATACTCAGTGGCAAAAATAAGAATTCATTAGTCCTCTCCAAATTTTCTCTCTGCACATTTCTCTGTGCTCTTCTGCACAGTTCAGAGATGCACACCATATGTCGTTTTGGCTGGTTACACCATAAACAATATAAACTAAACCTGAAAAGTAGTTTACAGCAATCCTTCCTGTTACTGCTGGCAGAGAGCACATACGACTTTGTCTGGATCTGAAGCAACACCTGTAACCGCCTACCCTTCCACATACGATCTTAATGGTTTGGCAGCTGCAGGGACCCACGTGCCAAAGCTGGAAACGCAATTTATTTTCTCAGCCTCCGATTCCGGGCTGAGAGCTGACCTTCCGAGCCTGCGACTGACGTCTGGTACTCCTGAGGATGGGGAGAGGTGGCTGGGGGAGCGACGGAGGTCTGCTTGGGACCTCAGGCTCCTTGTGGATGGATCCTCATCACCTGGAAACTGTTCTTTCCTCCCACCCTGCTTTTGCAGCTGGCGCGGATGTCTCCACTACCAGCTTTTTAAGCTAAACAAAGATTGTTACTGTGAGTTTTGCAAGACACTACCCATATTAGTAATGTATTTCTGAAGCACAGTTTGGTGGCAGGAAGACACTGAGACACTCACTGTCTCAGGTACGACATTTGGAAACCAGCTCTTACATTTCCATAAATATCAGCCACATCAGATCTAACTATTGGCTAGCACCTAGATGAAATGTCTTGAAGACGTGCTACTGTCAGATAGCAGAGAGTCCCAAATTTAGAAGCAGCAGCTTATACAAATAACTCCAGTGGTCGCATGTTATCTTTTAATTTCATTTTAAGAAAAATACACAGTATTGCACAGTATTACTTGCAACTCAAACATTACCTGTATTTTGACAGTGCAATGGAAGATGCTGAGAAACCAAAATTATGCTGTCTTAGTCTGTTTTCAGAGAGTGCAAGCTGTTGCATGAGATTATTTAACTGGAATAAATACTTACATAAAATACACTAATAATCCAGCTCTAAGATAGTCCCTTTGTTTTAGCAACCTGGGCCAAGACCTTTTTGGGAAATGGTGCTTGAAGCTGAGTAAACCCATCTAAGGCACCAAATACATGGCTTGACTTTCAAAAGAAAAGCTCCCAGTGGCACTCCTGAGAAACAATATTTTTAAACTATTTTGAACAAGCCTTAAATTAAAGTGATTTTTTTTTTTCCTTCTGACCCAGGTGGTAAATTACTTGGCCTAATCTGTATTATTTTCCCCTGACCCACACAAACGATCAGACAAGCCTAAAACAAACATGCTTACAGAAAGCTTTATATGTTATATTGTAATGATCTAGGTTGCTAATGTTCTCAATCATATGTATGCAAGCAAAAAATAAATATTTTACTTCTGAGGTCTACAAATAAGATTTAGAAAGCAAGTAATTTAAACTATGCCTTTATTAAAGGGAGGGAAAAAGCTAGAATTTACTAAGCCTTTGGTCTGCAGAATGGGAGACTAGCTTCAGGGAAAATGAGTACATTTTGCTAATAGCTGGATCCAA